ACATTTGCCTTCCACACTTGTGATATGCTGAGAGGACTTTTTGATATTTACAGGCTTGACAAGCCCAGAACTGCCTGGGCAAAGGCAGGTGAGCCGATGGATCCCTCCCAGACCTTGGGCACATTCACGGCTTGCAGGCAGAGCACATCTTTCACTGAAGCTTCTGCTGAAATGATTGTTAATTAGCTGCTGCCATTGATTCCCCCTCACAGCCCTTCCCTGCGGATGCAGCATCAGTCATGCACTAAGCCAAGTGGTGCATCTCACCCTGATAGAGGTTTTATCTTTGTTAATCCATAGGCTCAGGAAGACAGCACTATATTCCTTACAAGCCACTGATGCTCTGAAGGCTTTTACAGAGATAACCGTTCAGAAGAGCCTAATGGAGAGCACGTCCTGTAGCTGAGAAACTCGCAGCACTACACGGTGGTGGCAGTCACGGGGAATTTTCCTTCAGTCATTTACAAAGCAGCCAAAGGTGGCAAGAATTTCATAAGGAAGAAAATGAATGCCTGGGGAAAAAAACAATAATTAAACAGAGAAGAGTGCAGAAACCTAAGGACAATTTGTGTCCTGCTGAGAGGGAGACACGGACTCCTCGTGCTCGGTGAGCCACGGAGCAAACCCAGGAGGAGTGCAGGGCGAGCACCCACCCCAACACCACAGAGGCTTTTGCTGAGGCTCTTCAAAAGTGATGGCAGTGGCAGGGACCACAGGAGGAGCAGCAGAAACCCTTCCTGCTCTCCTTAATTCAGTCAGCAGCTTTAAGAAATGTTCATCCTAAACCACTCACATAAAAATAAAATCAGAATCAGGGATTTGTCTAGAAAAAGAACCATCTAAATAACATTTGTTTTCTGGGCACAGTGTAAAACTATTTTTGAAAAAGTGCATCTTTCTGAACACTAGGATAAAGAAAGTGAGAAGTGGCACAGAATATCTTACAGAAAAGACAGTTTTCTTCCAGCAAGCTCACTTAGAAAAGGAAACACCAATTAGATGTAGATGGAAGAACACTGGAAAGTACTGGTTTTGCTAAAAATGCCCTTTTAGGCCAAACAAAACTACTTGGAAGTTAAGTCAAAATCAGCAAATAAAGATTCAGCTAAATAAGAAAAAGGCAAAAGGTTAACCTTCTTTATTTTGAGGTGTGAATCAACTTTTCAGTTCTTCATTTTGAAATAATTTATTCCAAAGATGAGTCTAAGGCCAGTTTCCAAAAATGTGAAATAATGCATCTACTGGAACATTCTTTCCCCTTGAAAATAATTACTTCCATGTCACTGAATATTTTGAGGGTTTGTGCTAATACAAAATAGACCCACTTATTTCTCATTTGGGTCACCAATGAAAAAACCCAACCCCACTATTATTCAGCAGCTCTAAAACCAGCTCAAAGGAGCATCTCACTGGAAAGTCCGGTGTCACGAGAGGCCAGCACAGGTTTCATTTCCCAGAGCCAGCAGCTTGTTGGTGCCACCGAGGCCAGACAGGCAGGATGGGCCATGTGGTGGGGTCCGTGGTGATGCAGCCAGTGGGGATCAGCACGGGAAATGTCAAGCACAAGACCTTTATTAATGAAAGACCATGTAACTGAGGTAGGATAGATTCTGCCATCAACCACCTAGAGGGAGAAACCCCTGTTGAGAAAGGAACCCCACGACTTCCCAATGTGAGTGTCAGGAGGACAGAGCCAGGCTCTTTGCAGTGATGTCCAATGACAGGACAAGGGGCAATGGGTACAAGCTGGAACATAGGAGGTTCCACAAAAACATTAGGAAAAACTTTTACCCTGTGAGGGTGACAGAGCCCTGGCACAGGCTGCCCAGGGAGGTTGTGAACTCTCCTTCTCTGGAGACATTCAAAACTCATCTGGACATGTTCCTGTGTGGCTGCTTTGGGTGATCCTGCTCTGGCAGGGGGGTTGGACTAGATGATCTTTCGAGGTCCCTTCCAACTCCTAGCATTCCACAATTCTGTAACCTCCTGTAAAGATATCTCCAGCTCAGGCTCCATGGAAATGGAGCAATGACTCACTTCATTGCTGAGAGCATGTATAAACCAGGGTTTGCCCAGCACTGTACTTTAAATATTAAGTAAAACCAAGCAATGCAGACCCTCTCTTGGGCAGAAACAAGCATTTCTTGGCCTCAGCAGCGTTCAGAGCCATCCCTAAGCAGCCAAGTGCAGGTCTTGGCTCAGGGCACCCATGGGGACGGGTTGAGTCCTCAGCACACACATAAGGAGGAACAAATGCACCCATAGGACAGAGTGGGCATTTTGGCAAGGGAAGGCTGGTTCCCCTTCAGTGCTCCTGCTGGGAGGGAGGAGGCATTTCAATGGTGGGACGAGTCCCTGAGGAGCAGTGTTGGGCTCACCGTTTGGCAGACCAGGGTTATTGCTAGGCCACCATGGAACACCAAGGAATAAGCAGCGTGTGACACAAATGCCACTGCTCCCATCATCGGCTCATCAGCTCCACTGCTGCCAAGCATCAGCAACACCAACATGGGGCTCCAGTCCTGGGGCAGGGATTGGGCCAGGCTGGAGAAAAGAGCTGCAGCAAGTGTCCAAACACTCCCAAGAGCATGAATCACCTCTTCCTGGCATGCTTTTGGTTTATGAGGAAAAAAGGTTAAAAGAGATGGAGTTTGGGGGAAGTTTTTAAGTGATTATACATAGAAGCTCTCAACTCAACTCCTGTTGGGAAGGAAAAAGAGAAAAAGAAGGTAATTATAGCAAGACCTTGGATGCTTGAAGGATGGAGTTTCCCACAGCGTATAGCTGCGTACAGGCATCCCTAGTGGCTCAACATCAGAGCAACAACAGAAAAGGAAAACCTACATTTGGGGCAAGACTAGAAGAGATGGGGCAGGATTTCTCTAAGGACACCCTCATTGTTCTGCTTATGGGCACAAAGCACCCAAAAATAACCACCCGTGTCAGAGCTATGTACTGGTTTAATGTGCCAGCATTAAACTCCATCTGTTAAATTTACGCAATCCCATAGAAACACTTTTCTTGCAATTTGAGTGGCTTAATACATTCCTAATGTACTGGATCCTAGAGAGACCTGACAGAAATGGGAAAAAACCCAAAAATCTGGATTAACTCCAGTGAAATAATTTGCTCACAGAGTCTTTTGGATCCCTCTGTCCAGAATCATGTTAAAAAATCACATTTTATATTAAAACCAAGAAGGAAGACCTAAGATTGCTCAATAGAGAAAAGGAAACAGAAGCTGGAGCAGGGTCCTCAGTGTGAAAGCAATAAAGCACTATGACAAGGAGGGCCCTGACTACCTGTATTGCTTGCAGCTCTGCGTTTGTTATCCCTTCATTCCCAGCTGATGCAGCGATCAGCTGCAGTTCACAAGCAGCATGGGAGGAGAGAAGTAGGATGAGCTGCCTGTTACATGATGGTGTCTTTCTGACTTACTATCAAATAATGACTGAAAACGGAGACTACTTGTGCACAATCATACGCAGTTTCTGACGTCATTTTCAATTTCAAGAAGTCTGATCTAACCCCATATTATGCAACTGTTGAATCTTCCATGCTGGCAAAGTCTAATTTTCACACGCCTACATGCTATGTACCTGATTTTTATTTTTATTTTTACATATCAACAGCCTACAGCATTTTTCTCTAAACATACTTAAATGGTCATAATGGTTACGAAAGGTCTGAGCTTCACATTCGTTCTTTATAAGGAGTAAAAGCAAAAAAACTAACAAGTCCAGTCTAAAAAAACAGGCAGTGAAGAACAATGCAATGGTAACAGATGAAATGAAAACTCAAGGGACAATTGCAAAAAGAACTTATCTCCAGCATGGGGTGTTATATCCATGTGCAAAAAATATTCAATGCATGCTTCATCTATAACCCACCTTTCCTTTAAAGGTAACTTTTTAACTGAGATGTGCTGAAAAAACTCCAATTCCTAAATAAAAAAAAATAAAATAGCCATTTTATATCAGGCACTGCTGGAATGCACTAACATGGTGCTTAACCAAGCTTTTACCAGAATTAAGTAAATAATAATGTCACATAAACAAAAGTTCTTTCCTGAATTAATTCAGATCCCATGTAAACAGACTCTCAAACCAGGCTATGGAGAAAGAAGAGAAAGAAGCTGAAGGTAGTCCTGAGGCAAGAGCAAAACGTGGGCCAAATTCTCCTCTCTGGCCCTTCTTAAGTCTCTGTCTGTGATGAAGTGAACCTCCTTCGCGCTGGAGCCCAGCATGCAACCTGGCATTTCTCCCAGCATACTTAGAGCTGCTGAATAATCAGTCTGAGAATACAACAGCATTTCTGCCTTTTGGGTGGAGGATTTCTTTAGACAGTCTGACCAAGTGACTAATTCCCATCCTACTTGTCAAAGACACACAAGGTGAGAATGCAGAAATCACAGGAACGGATTTTGATTTTGTGTGGTCAGGACCCTGTCAGTCTCCTGTGCAGAAACTTGCTTCTGAGCAACACCTTCAAGTTACCTGATATTGCTTTTCAGACCAACGTCTCCTTCTTCACTACCGCAGAAGTTAACCAACAGCCTTCAAGTTGCACAGAGATGTACGTGTCCTATGCACAAACCAGCAACACGTCACGTTTTAAAAGAAATATCTGGTCCCAAGACTCAGGTGGGCATTTTTCAAAGATGCACATAATGAGAACACTATATGGGTTCAAAACTGAAGGCCAAAAAGAGATGAGCTTGCTAAGCAAGAGAAAAACTGTCCTCACCTACTGGGTACGATGCATGACTTGGAGAGCTGAAATTCATTTCTACGTTGTTGAGTTTGTGCTGGTCCAGGCAGGCACATGCAACCTGTATTGGAGGTTATCTGAAAGCCACCAGATGTATTTTTTTTTGGTGAATCAGGACTGATTGACATGGTCCCTATAGATACTGGCATCTGTGTGAGGTGATTTGCTTGACTGCAGCTCATCACAGGCACATTTTAAAAACTGCAGGAGCTCCAGCTAATCTTCCTTCTGCTCCACCAAGGAATAAAAGTACATGTTGCTAGGAGTGCTGATAGTCCAGACAAGAAAAAGACTTGTTTTCTGTTTCTATGGTTGCAACAGCCCTTAAGAAAGATATAAATTTCCCTGCAACAACTAACTGCATATTCATTTATAGGTAGATCTAGTTCCAGATTCCTGAGACAGAACCCTCTACCTGTTTCCAAGCCCACAAAGCCAGAGCAGCAATACAGAAAGTTTCTAATCTCAACAGAATTCAACGAGCAGCAATGACTGGTTTGGAAAATAAACAAAAAATCGAACCAAAGCAAACCAAAAACCTACCCAGAAACACCCCACAGCAGATTTTCAGCCTCTATGTACAAAACCAATGCAAACAAGTGGAACATTCTAGTTATATTTTGTAAAACACATATTTGGGATCAACAAAACATCAAACATCCAGACCCTAGATTACAAAAAAAATCTATTGCCATCTAATTGTCAATCCCAAGTTTAGACAGTCCTTGTCGGAAATCATGTAATTCATCTATCTTCCCGTCTAGTACATCTAAAAAATTCTTTAATTCAGTTTTAAGGTTGGTCTGCCTATGTTTGCTCTCTTCGACTTCTGTCCTTAGTGTTCTGACTTTCTCTTCAAGATCTTTGTTCTTTTTCTCAGCAGCCTTAAAGACAAAAGAGACAATAAGATGAATCATAGAGAAGAAGGATGAATGGCATTTAACAGGGTAAAGGAAAGAATGACAGCTGGGCTGTACAAGTTTGCTTTGACTTCTGCAAACTGATTAACACAAGCGCCTCTGAGAGCAAGTGACATGTGCTAGTCAGATTAAAAAGAAAGCAAGCCCAGGCAGGAAAGGACACAGATTAACTGGAAAAGACGCTTTGCATCAGATTTTGTCATTTGGCTGATATCTTAAAATTCAGCTGGATTTAAATCATGCACTGTGCATACACTTCTGTCACTGCTACAGTTGCAAAATTAGACACTGCACCACCAATTACATACAGAATTATCTACGGTGGTTTAACCTTGAAAAACAAGCTTATAAAATACTGCCTGAGGAAAAATATCGCTTTATTCAGCACTTTTGGATTTATCAGTATTTTTTTTGAAGTTAGACTTTGTGTGAGCACTCAGGCAAGGAACAGGGCAGCCACGTAACACTTCCCTGGCTGCAGAGTTTGTTCTACTATAGCCCCCTCACTGCTTATTATTTAAAAACCACTTAAAAGATATGTAGAGACAGTGCTTAAGGACACGGTTTAGTGGTGCATTTGGCATTGTTAGGTTAATGGTTGTACTCAACGACCTTAAAGGTCTTCTCCAATCTAAATGATTCTGTGATTTTATTCTTTATTTCATGTTTGTAAGCACAGGCTTACTCTCACCAAAATCCACAGATGACGTACTTTACCACACCGACCCAAACAAAATTTTCATTTTAACCATTTTCAGCAGCTGCACTCCTCAGCAGCCTTCTAAACAATTTTAGATCACTTAGATTATTCAGAACATTCTAAACAATTTTAGATCATTTAGATTATCAGAGAGATGGCTTATTTGATTGATTGGAATTTATTTCATCGATGAGGCTGCCTGTATTTGTTCTCCTCTCGTGTACTAATTTATTGCATTCACACAAGCCCCGAGTTCAACAAGTGAGCCCAGTGAGCTTCACCCCAAGCGAGCAGCTCCCAGCAGAGGAGCCCCACGCACGAAGCTGAGCCACGCATTGCTGGAAAGGAATGACGCAGCACAGAAACGCATCCTGGGGTGAATTATTTTTCCCTCATGATGTGCAGCTATGCTCAGCTGTTCCTTCCCAGAAAGTATTCCCTGGTGCCACTGCAGCCATCAGCCACAGGTCTCAGAGCTCCACACACATGGCTGCGGCGCGGCCAGAGCCCCGGAAATATGGAGCACAGTAGGACAGCTCCAAACCTGCAGGAGATGGGTGCAACATCATCCCAGGCGGACCAATTTCTGCCAAGAGCAAGGCAAAGAAAGAGAGCTGTTTAATGACTCCTGTGCTGGGAAGGGCACAGTGCGTTTTGCAAGTAATCAGCATTTTTTTTGTTTGGTTGTTTTGTTGGTGGTTTGTGTTTTTTACAAACTGGAGCTCTTTTGCCTTGGAACACTGAAATCTGAATGGAGAAAAGCGTATAGTTGTGAGAAAGAAAGTAAATGTATCATCTATTTAAAATCTAATTTCATCGCTGAACTGTACCTGTAATTGTTGAGATACAGATTCACATTCTGACATTAGCTGTGGTATAATTTCACCCTGCTTTCGGAGCTCTTCCAGTTCCTTTGAAAATATAAAAGAAAAAGAAAATAAATAGTGCAGGCTTCAATTTAAAACATAATGAAAATCTGAGAATATGAAATGGCTTTGCATATTGTATTGTATTCTGCACAGTATCTGAATAGAAAATAATCAAAAAAGCATGTCTGCATTCCAAAACACATGCTAATTTTCTACTAGAACACATTTTTTCACTACTTTTTTATTTTGTATTTCTAAAACAGACAAGGTAATCTGGTCTCAAGCATGAATGCCATTAATTATGTTAATGAAATCTTAACCTAAAACACACACTTATGCAAAAGATATATTCAATAAGAGAGAAATATGAAGGGCTGTAATGCTACAAGCAATTTACAGATGGTAGCAAAGAGCAAATTACACATGAATTTTCAATGATACACAGCAAGAAAAAGAAAAGGCCAATTGCATTATGAACTGCATATATAAAGGCATCATTACAGAGCACAGCTGTAATGGACTCTCCTCCACTGTACATCTCTGAGACATCCCCCACCCCAAATCTGCATTCAGTGCTGGCACCGTTATCCAAACGGAGAGGATTAGCTGAAAGGAGCTAATGGAAAGGGCAACGTGCCTTGATAGGAGTCCATGACTCTGACTCAAGACAACTGGAATACATCAACACCATGAACGAGCACCACCAGTGTGGGTAGTAAGGAAAGGCTCCGAGGAAGCCTGTCCATTTTGCAGAAGGATTGACTGAGCATCTGAAAAGCATATTTGCAGGTCCAAGAGAAACTCTCTGACTTGAAGAGAGTGCAAGATCCTGCTCCAGAAACTGCCCATGGGAGTGACGGTCTCAAGAGTAAGCAAGGGTATATCCTCCCTGAGCTGTACTGGCACAGGACAGCTAAACCAGTCCTATCTGAAAGGCAGACGTCTTGGGTACGAAAGGCAGATTTCTTCCCTAACAGGTGAACTTACAGCATAATACAAGTGCAATAGAATCCATAAATCATGCTCTCCCATGCATATCGATCTGTATATACATAAATAATGCCTGGGAGCTCACATCTCAAAATCAAAATATATTACGCTATACATATAACTACTATACTGTATACTTAGTATAATACAGCATGTGTGAGTGTGTATATATACACACACTATATCTATGGTACATGGCATATGGCATGTGAGAGATATATATATAAATACAAACATTTTACTAGATAGCTCTGTCCTCCTTCCCATGTCTTTACATTTCTCTCTCCTTATTTCCTACGTGAAGAGAGCATCAGAAGCTCCTCCTATACAGCACTGTCCACGAGCAGACCTCACGCTGGTTTGAATCACAGATCATGAAAAGGTTACTTACGGGTGGTTTAGACCTAATCAAGAACCTGCTAATGTAGGTATGCAGTTTGAAAACAAGTTAGTATATTGTCAGTGTAAATGGAAGATAGGCATGTAATATTCACGAGTCAATCAATTTTCTGGTTCATTTGGTACCATAAAAATGTGAATCTTGAGGAAAACGCTAACAGAGAATAAGGGTTACTATACGTGCTATTACTACAGAAAGGTTGGGAAGAAAGCATGACATTTTCCTTTGAAATATGTGGCTGCAAAACATATTATATTTATAACAGTGCATCAAAATCCATCTCCTTAAACTATTTCCTTGTGCCATCTTAAAACCCCTTAACAGCAGTGCTTTTAAGAGCACCAGCAGAGATGCTGTAATGGCACATGGCAAACTTTACTGCACCTGCTGACACCTTTTTCTCTTCAGCCAGCACAGAACATTTGATCACTGTAATGAAGGGAAAAAAAACCAAGGATCCCATTATTTTCCCCACTGTTCAGGGGCTCCAAGCCATCAACATCCTTCTCCTTAGAAAAATGAACACCCTGTATGTCAAAAATGACAAACTGGGGTACTCTAAATGAATGTGAATTTCTCACTCTTGGCATTAATCCTGAGATCAGAGGGAGACCGTAAAACTGCAAAGCTGAAGACTACAAGCCATCCAGAAAAAGAAACAGGGCTTGTCACATAAGCACCAAGTTATTTTGTAAATTACGTCTTTTTAATGATGGTCCTGATGCCTACGGGAAATTCAGGGCATGGGGACTGGCAAATGAAACCGTTCTCAGCATGTGTCTGTCTGGGCAACAAGTTTCACCACTCCCAGCTCGACTACTAGGAGTAAAGTGCTGCGTACATACAAGTACCATACTAGTTAACCACTGCCACGTTCAGGTGTGCTATCACAGTGCATCACACCTCATGAAACTGAGACTGTGGAGCTCTATCAGACTGTTGCTAAGCAGCTGTACATGGAAAAATCTAGAAACAGGCAATATCCTGTGGCCATCAGGCCACTTCTGGTTGTAAGTGAGCCAGTCCATAAATCTGCACCCCAAGAGATAAGCAGGCAGACCCACTCAAACTCTAATATGCACCATTTCTGTGTTCAGGACACTTACCAGCTCTTTGTCCTGAAGTTCCGTTTCCAGTTCTTGGAGACGTCTACTCAACTGTGCGTTTCTTTCTTTCTCCTTATTTATTTCATTGCACTGTTCCTCTAGTTCTTCAATCTTTAAGAAATGTCAGACATGAGGTGAAATTTTTCGAATTTCAGAAGATTGAGGCAGAACACAGCTGGTGTAGATGGGCATTGCTCCATGGAGCAGAGGGCAGCACAGGTAATTTTAATTTGTCACGGATCCATTTCCTAAATTGTAGCACTTGATTCACTGCAACCAAATTATTTGCTTCTTTGCTTAAAACGAGCCAATTTACACATCCACTAGGAAGCCCTGGGACCGTGTTTATTCTCTCTCTCTCACAATATCTCATGGAAGTACTCAGAAATGCACAAAACACTGAGCTGCTAAACTAAGTGGATCTGGGGATAAAATCTGCACTTCACTTCCAGGAAACCAAGACAAGACTGCAAGGAATGGGTTTTCTTAACACAGCAAGGAAAAGAAATCCCTCCAGTGCTCCCAGCTTTGCCTCCTCAAGGGTTCCTTATTGTTCTAGCTGGAATATGAGGGACACAACATCAAAACTTTGGGGGAAGAACGAGTTCAGAGTAATGTATGCCACTTTGTTCTCTCACCCAGGGATGTGCTTTGCTCTCTCCACACCTCCTCCTGCCAGCTCTACACTTGGCTCCCAGGAGATGCACTTCCCACAGGCCGATGGGCCAGCTCATTAAAGCACGTACTTGAATTCTCAGCTTTCTGTTGCTTTGGGATTATAACTTCCCTCATTTGAAGGTAGAGCAATATGCAAAAAATTCTGACCCAATTAATAAAGGAGAAGAAACTTCCCAGGGCGCTGCAGGGGTGCAGTGTGAGCGCTGAGCAAGGAACCTACTTGGGGGAATAGCTCAGAAAATCTCTCTGTGTGGAAAAAGACAGCGCATTATACTGACAGCGTAGCTGCACGGACTGGCTAGTCCCTGTTCCAGTCTCTCACTTGTCTCCTGTGCAAAAGAGACTGAGTATAGGAACCCGAGTCATTTAATGACTGATATTAATTTGTTAATGTAATATCAGTTAACACAGTTTGAATTTGATCTCTGAATCACCACTGTGTACACCTAAAATACATGCAAACAGAGAGCATCTGCCTCAGGAAAAGGTTGCTCCACATGAATTTTCAGTGCCAGTAGACAATCCAGGCCACCTACAATGCTGAAGTACTATCTTGCAGCCTACTGACACATAAAAAGATAGGAAATTACTCCCTCTTTGAAAGTGAACACTAAACCAGCCAAAAAAAAATATCCTCACAGACTGATACAATTTGATCTTGACTCCAGTGATCCACCTAAGCAAGCAGGAAAAGGATTCAGCTTTTCTAAAGACATTTAAGAAGAACAGAGCGAAATCACTCCTGCAGGCAGAGCTCAGGGGAACTGGGCTCCCCTGTGCCCAGGCTAGTGCCAACCCCGAGCGGGGCTGTTAAAGACAGCAGGGTCACCTGAGAGACTGTGCCAACGACTGCTCTAAACCAAGGCTTTAAAAACTTAAGACTTCTGAATTGTTCTCTGCTGTAGCCATGGCTCACCCTCGGTCTTACACTATTGAGAGACACTGTGCTCCATAACAGAGGGGAAAAGGATGTTGATGATGCCTCTTGGCAGTTTCTGGACGAGCCGTGCCTGGCGTATTTAAGCAAACGTTGAAAACGATGTGCAATAGCAATCCTACTTTTAAAATCTTTCTGTTTTACCAGCCCAGCCAGCCATCCCTGTGCACACCAAGTCTCCCAGACCAAGAGACCGGGAGATCCACATGACGCAGCAGCACCAGTCCTCCCACCAATCCCTTTCCCTTTGAACTTCCCTCCCCACTGTGTGCAGAGGGAAGGAGCTGCCTCTCCATCCGCCTTCCTTTCAACGACAAAATCCATCTGCTAACATGCAGAAACCCAAGAGAAAGAGCAATGGCAGGAGCAGCTAACTGGGAGGGATGGCTCTCCTGTGGGTATGCTCTGGTACCTTGCCCCTGATCTGGTCGTTTTCATCCTTGCAGGCTGAGAATTGCTTCTTCCAGTGCTCGATGCTGGCAGCCGACTCCTGCAGCGCCGTGGTCAGCCGGGCGTTGCTCTCCCGCAGTGTCTGCAGCTCCGTCTCCCACTTCTTAACATTGGAGGAACTGAAAAAACACAGGGCGTCGTCACTGGGTGTCATCACCTTACAACCCCACATCTCACTGTGTTCTTCACCTGACTGCAAACTCATCCACCCGTGGTGTGTGTTTACCAATCGTTTGTTATTGCAAGACCAAAAGTACTCAGATGTGTGTCACTACCCTTAGCCATTGCCTGCCTAAGGACAATACAAGCCTTAATTTGACCATCTCTGCCAAAACAGAGGGATCTACCAACGTTGGCAGATGACCTGTGTGTCTGCAGCAGCAGTTCTGCTGTGAAAGCCAGCTGCAGGGCTGAGCTGACAGCTGGGGTCTCCCCCATCTGCAAAGAGGGATTTTACTCCCGGCTGTGCATGGGCTGTGCTCACCTCAGGAGCTGCACGGCCCAGCCTCCCCAAACAGCCGCTGCAGCACAGCAGCCCTGGGGACGCGGCACTCATGCAGCGATGATACAATAATTCAGAACAAAAGATGTCAGGGGGCTGACACTATCTATTTTTGAAGGTGGTTTTTTGTTTGGGTTGTGTTTTTTTTTAGCGCTCAGCCTTAAACATAAAAGTGTTACACAATGCTGGAGAATTAAACTACTCATTCCCCAAAGCTCCAAGCTGCAGTGTAGAGTACGAGATTGGAGAGTGAATGGAAGGAAGGCTCTGAAACTCCCTACATGCTGGTTGTAACCTGCCTCTGGAGGTGTCTGCAGCAGGAGAAACAAGAAAATGTTATGATGTGAAATAGGTCATGCTATTGAAATGCCAATAAAAGAAAGATGATGTACTTCAAATATAAAATATATGCAACTTTGTAATTGCTCACTCAGTAATGCTGCTTACGGTGCTGCTGCCTTATTTTTAAAACAGCTTTTTAAGAGTAGCTTAATCCTGTTAGATTTTCTTTTCATTCACAGATATATTCACATGCAAGAGGCAGACAAGTCAAGATTCCAGTGGAGAATTATTCTGTTTTAATGTCATAACTTTGCATATTCCAATGCCTGCATTTGCACTACGGTTGCAGCATTTTCAAGCAATTTATCAAGGCAAACAGAAAAAAATATGACTTCAAGGGACATTGTCCATGGCCTTAGAAACATCCCCATAAGACTTCTAAGCAGCCTGGTGAAATTATATTTCTCACTTCAAGTTTTTATGGCTGAGTTCATTCCCCTTTATAATTTTAAATATCTATATCTATTTTCATCAAAGTAAATGTAGCAAACTCAAAAAGGAAGAGAGATTGGCCTCACAAGTTAGTAGTAATTGCTCCCCCATGGCTTTAATGTTATTTCTGTAGCTCTAAAACCTCACAAAATAAGGTGACTATAAGAGTTGGCAATAGCAGAATAAAATAGATCTTATTTCATCATGAACTAGATCAGGAAAAAATAAATGCTACATATCTCTCAACTGGATACCAGGAGGTACTTGCTCAAATCTGCTCATTCATCCATTCTGCTGCATCTTTTTACATCAATGCAATTACATTTCAATAATTTCTATTAATAACATTAGCCATCAGAAAATGACAGCACGTTATTCCAATGCAATTTAAGTATTAAAGGAACTTCACCTTTGGGCTAGAGCAATTTTTAATTTATCATTCTCAGCCTTGAGATGTGCCTCAGCAGGACCAACATGCGATGCCTTTTCATCGTCTGTCCCATTCACACTGGATGCTCGAGTGGAAGATGGGGTTTCACGTCCTGACTCCTGCAAGCACAACATACAAATGAACACTGGGTGTCTCTTGCACCTCTTATGACAACACAACACCAGTTTCTCTCTAATCTTGATCCCACACCACCCTGCTGCGACCTAGGCAGCGTATGCTGTCCTGGCAGAACAGTGGTAACAAACACATACCCTTTTCTCCTCGGCTGCAAAGCTGGTGTATTTAAAATGAATGAAGAAATGCTAATGATACAAAAAATGGAAGTTTAAAGGGTTAAAAAAAAATCAAGGTGTTTAAACAGACAAGGCTTGTGTTTTCTAAAGGCTGGGTTTTTTTGGTTTTTTTTTAGATAATGAAACAATACAGTGCACCTGGAAGCACACTAAGTCCAAACCAAAAATAATAAAAAAAAGATGCTGCTCCTCCAAAGAGATACCATTCCTACACTGCTTGGTGGTGATCGCCAACAGAGAACAACCAAAGAGAACCATAAAGGCTGTGACCAAAGTCTTTAAAAAATAAGTATCCAAAGTCAGCCTGTCAGATTGGTATTCGTGGACCCCACCAAGGGGGTTAGTGGCAAGACTAAGAGCATTCAGCAGCTTTTCCCTGACCATCCACCCAAATTCCTCCCCAATCCAAATTTGTGTAATTTTCCTCCAAACATTAGCCCAGGTCAGCAAT